GGAAAAGCAGCGCGATGCGCTCAACTGGAGGGCCAATGGTGCATTATATATATATATATATTTATAGAATATATATATATACACACATACATTGATTGTTGAGTCGAGTGATTCTGTCCTCATTGTTGAGTCGAGTGATTCTGTCCTCCTAAGTGCTTCAGGACATTATGCAGGCCTTTTGCTAAAGATTTGAGCACCTTGCATTCAGTGAGTTGACAAGTAGTCTTCCAAGGACACCATCCTAGATTTCTGTCACCACTTGCAAGCGGTGTTGGAGGAGGTGACAATCTGAGCTGCTTGAGATGTTCCGAAATGGAGCCTTCTAGGCTTCCTGTATCCGCAAGTTGCTTTCCTTAGCAATGTTTTCCAGGTCGAGAAGCACCAAAGTGTGTGCCTGACTTGCTCCAGGCGACCTGGAGCGGTTGGGCGGCCCAGTCAGAACGTTTGGGTTTGGCACCAAGTCAAACGAACAGACACCGGGCATCGCTACTAGTAACAAGGGCAATACTACTAGTACAACGCTTTCTCTTTCACAGCCGTTTTGGCCCTTGGGCCCCACTTTGGCCCATTTGGGTCCCTTGTTCTTGTTGGGTGGACTTGAGTACTCCGAGGTGGCAAATTCGCTTCTGCTGTTGGGCGCTTTCTTGATCCTCGAGAGAGGCTATACAGCAGACAAGGTCATTGACCGGACCTGTTTCATGATGGGTCATGTTTTTTTTCGTGGTACAAAAGAACCAATGCACTTGGGGAAGGCGCATGATCGATACGGAACACCCTATGTTTATCTATGTTTGAAGAGCAGAGATGGTGCACTTTGATAGCGTGATTTCCACCAGAAACAGAAACAGAACGAATCCGACAGAACCACCAGCCGCACACTGTGTAGGTGATGCGGCTTGTGGACTCGTCAAACGGTGGAGCCATTCCGACTTCCGAGCTCCGCTTCCCTACACCATTCTTGGACGTGGCCTCAGACCATGACCCCTTGGCTTCTGTCAATTCTAAAGGTTCTTGCTCCAAGCATGCAAACCTGAACAAACGGCTCAGGAACAACCAAACTTCACTGAAGATTCGTTGATGCTCAGCGATTGTTTCTTGACACATTTGTCACATTTTGTGTTCAGCGGCTATTGTCCCTTCAGCTGCAATTCTTCTAGACTGAGGTTTCGTTGGATTTGAGATGGCAATTAGCAAAAAATGGCTTGACAAACAAGCCATAGAAGTCACTTGGCCTTCCGAAGTAGCACATTGTTACTTGCATCGTTTTTTGACGAGTTTACTGTTTACTTATGTATGTTCCAGTTTGTCATCTGACTTTGATGAAGTGTGTTTGCTAACCAAAGGAGCGGCGGCAGGTTGCCATGGCCTTCGATGCTGTACCTGTCTTTTGCTTGCGATCAGCAGCTAACAACAACCATTCTTTGTTCTCATATCTGCGGCACATACAGATAAGCACAGTCAGTCTAGTGTTTCATTGTCCCATTTGCTATCTCGACCACAGGGAACTCGGCCTCTTCCAACGGCTGAGGTCTTTTCAGTGGTCCTGCAAGGTCAGCCGAATGAGAAACTGGCTGCAGTGCACTTTTGGATCGCTGCGGACCCGGTCACCACAGTGGAGGACGTCATACAAGTGGACCTTTTCTTTAATTTTCCGGGGGGGTAGGCCGGTAGAAGAGGTAGGTAGAGGCTTTTGGTGAACATTGTGTTCGTCCTTGGAGTTGGCTTAAAGCCGGTCGTGGATTCAGAAAGTGAGTAGCATTGTGTGTTTTAGGTCTGGGAATACACCCAGACACAATGCGGAGATCCTGCCGGTTCGGAGAAGTTCGATGAGAGCCCAACAATAGTGCCCCAAAAAACGGTTAGCCTCAACTGATTATCAGTTCAGTAGAGAGCGGCAGGAAGATATGCAGGGGGAATGGTACTTGGACTTGGATTCTCCAGTATGCAGCACTCAGGGGACTCTTGGATGGTGCTACCCTGTTGTGCTTGCTCCGCGCTTTGCGTTGCGCTTGCACTGCAATGCTAAGCATTTTTGATAAAGAGCGTCGTTACCACTGCAGTAGAAAATAACTATTTGCAACTTTCCCCATAGCCGCTATCGAGGGCACTCTTCAGTTGTGCACTGCTGGTCAAGTTGCTTTTGCTACAGTGCTGTCCATGATGTGATTCTTGTCTAACGCTTGTGCAACTGCAATCCTTGCAGGTCTATAATGCTTCCGTGAATGTTTGCAGGAAGACTCGACCAGTGTTTGAACAAAAGACAAGCAGAAACATGCAGAAACGTTTTCAGAAGCACCTTCCGCGAATGTCGACCGCGAGGACCCGTCCGACCGTGAGCAAGACCTATTGAATGTTGATGCAAATGATCAGCTTGCTGAGCTTGCTTGGTCGCCAACATCTCCGCCTGCGCATTCCCATTTTTCAAGAGCTGTGTCAGAGCCCTCTGGTGATCTGACCCCGTCGCATCTGGCAACTGCGGTGCGAATCTTTAAGAGCCATGATCACTTGCATACTTTGGATGAGGAAGGAAAGGTGGGAGAAAGTCCCAAACATGTTTGGGCTCATCATGCGCATGTCTTTCCAGCTCTCTCAATGCCGAGCTCGCGTGTGAACACCAAACTGCCGACCAAGGCGGGAACGAACGAGTTTAATGCAGTTTGGACTTTCGCAGCCAATCCAACTCCACCCTACTAGCGATTGCCTCCACCCTAGTACCCGAATAACAATGGCTTCCAACCTAATAGCAATATAATATATAGCAATGGCCTCAAACCTAACAGCAATGGCCTTCAACCTAAGAGCGATGGCCTCCAACCTAAGAGCGATGGCCTCCAACC